CAGCACCAAATATGGGTTGGGGGAAACTCATTACACTTTTTAATAGGCTGGCAATCTGTATAACGTGATACAAGCAACTCGCAGTACACCAATAATGTCGGCCTCACTGAACTTGAATGCGGCCGGGTCTCGGCGAAAGAGCCGCAACTTGAGGATTGGTATCATTCCTCTGAACTGTTGCCGTGTGTTCGGCCGTTCGCGTCTCCGACGTAGCTGCTCTAACCGCGACTACGCCAGACTCGATAACGGCTCTAAATGCTTCTGGTCTTGCCAGTAGGTCTTTTGGTCTCATGACCTAAAGCCTACTGATTGCCTCCAGCTTCTGTGTAACTCCAACTTCAAGTGGCGCGAGGCGGCCGATGGCCTCCGATACGTCTAACTTGCGAAATTGCACAACCGGTGCACGCGTAAACGAAACGAGTGACATAATCACACCGATCTCCGAATTTTGACGAGCTATGCCGCACGTCAAAAACGTCTCAGGAGGTACCAAAATTTGTCATTACCTTACTGACGTCAGTCCTGCTAGCCGGTTCAAGAGAAATGGACAATCATCACCCAAAAGGAACAATAGCACAGGACTGGAAGAACCAACAATTCTCTTGCCCTAACTCATTCGCGGCTTACTAGAAAGACTCGTAGTGTGCCCTTACAAATCACTAACTTATGGTATCTTTAGCAAGCGAGTAATTATCAGACCTGGATGAAAGGCTGTCACAGCAGACTGTCATGTCATACGCCGTACCGCAGAGCTAGTTGGGTTATGTACCAGCAGGCCTCCGCAGATTTGTTTTCTTATCATCAGCTATCCGTACATCTATGGCGGTATTCGACGTTAATAATGAAAATGGCACGTCCACATATTCCGCGGGCATACTAGCTTCCAGTTACACAGTGCAGAGACGATGCGCCCCATTTAGATGTCTCGAGCAAAATATGGGGAACAAAAGTAGAGCACTGGGAAATTAAGTCTTCTTCAGGGTTTGGAGGTTTACGTCAGAGAAACACCGCCAGATGGTGCTCCTCCCAGATCACGAGTAGTCGACCTAATAAGTTCGAACACTCTGAAAAGAAAGTTTTCTCTCCTCCTTTTCAACGAAAAACGACGACCAACAAAGGTTACACCCTAAGCGTCCGAGAATATGTCCAAATACCAATAAAACACTTGGCTCCAAACTAGTATTTGTAGTCCTGACTAAAACTGCCAAATTCCCTTACTAATAAGGTTATTGTGATACTT